GCAGAGTGTTGTCCCGAGGGTCCCGGGCCCCACCAGTGCTGAGCAGACTCCTCGTCCACAGTGGCAGCCCTGCAGACGGAGATGGAGAGCCTGTCTCTGCACCTCTTCTACATGCAGAACATAGACCAGGACGTGCGTGACGACATCCAAGTCATGAAGCAGGTGGTGAAGAAGACGGAGATGGAGAAGATGCATGCAGAGATAGAGAAGAAAAAGCAGGTATCCCTGGAAGCCCGCAGGTAGCCCTTCGACAAGCAACCCTCTCCTCCACAGGAGATGCTCAGCCTCAGTGGAGAATTGACCACGGACTCTCTTTCTTTCAGGACCTGTTCGTGGACCAGCTCACTGAAAGGTCACACCAGCTAGAAGAAAACATCGCCCTGTTTGAGGCTCAGTACTTGTCCCAGGCCGAGGACACCCGGGTTCTCAGGAAAGCAGTGACTGAGGTAAGAGCCACCTCCAAAGCCGGCAGGAGCAGAAGGCCCTCCACCCCTTCGCCTGCACCTGGCCTGGCAGGTTCAGCAGGACAGCACCAGCGCGTCTCTCTGTAAGCCATCACCACCAGCAGTGTCTGTGTCTTACCCCCTCTTCAGGCCACCACAGAGATTGATGCCATTATCTTGGAGAAGAAGCGTATCCTACAGCAGTGGACCACCAGCCTAGTGGGCATGAAGCACCGTAATGAGGCGTACAGGACGGTGATGGATGCTTTCAGGTACCACGCCCGTGAGGGGCTGCCAGGGACACTGTGGTCCGGGTGTGCCAGCAGAACTGCTCCACACAGGAGCAGTATCAGGACCCATACTTATCTCCATCCTTCTGTGTCCCCAGCATCGGGAGAAGCCAAGTCCCCAGGTCAGGCTTCCAGGTTCCAGGCTGGATATCAGAAAGAGATGTTTGTCTGTGGGAGACAGAGGTGCCCCTTCAGTCTCACCACCCAAGTAGAAAAGCTCAACCCTTCCCCGGTTGTTCTGGATTGTTCTGCCCCGGGGCCAAGTTCCCTCCAAAATCCCATTTCAGTTCCCCTGAGAGGAAGGGGTAACCAGAAGTTCCAAAGTGATGGGAATTTGATTCCATAGGTGGCTTGCTCATGGCTCACAGGCTGGTCTGCTCTGCCTTGACACCTATAGAGGCCATGAGAGAAAGCGGCTGCAACTGGCCTACTAGGTGCTGAGTGCTGGGAAGATGGCTCAGAAGTTAAGAGAGGATGTTGTGCTCCCAGAATATCCAAATTCAGTTCCCAGTGTCCACGTCAGGCAGCTTATAACCACCCATAACTCTGGCTCCTGGAGGTTCAGCACCCTCTTGTGGTCTCCTTGGACACATGTGAGTGCATGTGCACACCTAGACACACACACACACACACACAGACAGACACACACACACACACACACACAGATACAAACACATGCAGAGACAGACACACACACACATATAGAGACAGACAGACAGATATACACACAGAGAGAAACAGACAGATACACACATATGCAGGGACAGACAGACAGACACAGAGAGACAGACAGATGCACACATACAGAGACAGACAGGCACACGTGCATGCACACATGTGCACGCGCGCACACACACACACATACACACACACACATAATTTTGTAAAGAAATAATAAAGGCCAGAGGTGCAGCTTAGCAGAGACAGCCTGCCTCGCATGCATAGGGTCTAGGCTCCATTCCCTGTACTGAGAGGAAAAGGTGTGTGTGTATGACAGCTCACTTAACAAACAAAAACACAAGACTTTTTTATGTGGATAATAATATTGGATTTAAAATATCCATTTCTGTTGGTTTTTTTGTTTTTGCTTTTGTTTTTCAGTCAGCAATACTAAGCCAAAGGTAGCTTTGTGGAACTGTCCAGGAAAATTATGCACAAAGGTTGTTTTCACCTTAAACACACAGGCAGAGGAACCAAGACCAGCTGGGTGGGTGCAGCCTGCTTCTCTCTGCCTTCCTGCAGTTTTTGTTGTTGTTGTTGATTCGTTTCACGTGTGTGTATCTGTGTGTGTGTCTGTGTATGTGTTTGTGTGTGTTCATATATGTGTGTATGTGTGTTTCTGTGTGTGTGCACATGTGTATATCTGTGTATCTGTGTGGGCATGTGTATGGTGTGTGTGTGTTTGTATGTGTGGCCACATGTGTGTATGTGTGTGTTTCTGTGTGTCTGTGTGCACATGTGTGTGTGTGTGCACGTGTGTGTATGTGTGTAAGCATCTGTGTGTCTGTGTATGTGTGTGGTGTATATGTGTTTGTGTGTGTGCACACATGTGTATGTGTATCTGTGAGTGCACATGTGTGTGTATAAGTGTGTGTGTGTGTATTTAAGACAGAATTTCACTGTGTAGCTCTACCTGGCCTACAAACAACTATGTACTCCATGCTGTCCATGAAACCTCCCATCTTTCAACATAGTATGCTACCCCAAGCCTTTCTCCTCTGCCTAGAGCTGTCCCTGTATCACCCGAGCAGCACTCCAGTTACCCGGTGTTTGCTGAGAGGCTCCCGGGTGCTTCACACTCAGGTACTGGGGGTAGAGGGTTGTCATGCTTCATGACTTTCGGCTGTTGTATAGGCAGAGTCTGGGCTTGTTCTGACTGCTGAGTGCCATGCCACTTTTCAATATTATTATCAAGTCATGAGCTTCTGGCTTCCAAAGCCATTTGTAGTGCCAAAGAGGACTGCGACCGTCACACACACCCGGTGGCATCCTAAAGCCCAGACATCTTGCATATTGTCTGTCACCTGCTAAGCTCAAACCAGTTAGACTGGGGAAAGTAAACATCTTGTATTTTTGTGGTTTTGCTTGCTTGTTTTTGAGACAGCCCCACTCCGTAGCCCTGGCTGTCCTGGAACTTGCTCTATAGACCAGGCAGGCTTCAAACTCAGAGACCTACCTGCCTCTGCCTGCTAAATGCAGGTGAGAGGTGTCCCCACCACTGCCAATACTCTGAATTTTAAAATATGCACTCCTAGAATGTCAGGTGGAGATTTTAGCAATCTATGTACATACATGTACACGTGACCAGTAAATGGGCCTCTGCCTCTAACTGTAACTGACATGCCAAGACCCCAGAAGCTGGGAGGCCATCTTTTGATGAGATCACGTGGGCCTATGAATTCAAGGCCAACCTGGGTATCATAGTGAGAATATTTCCCCCAAAATGACAGAAACAAACAAAATCAGGTGAGCCTGCTTGGCGGACACCAACATGCCATGAGGACTGTTCACTGTCTGGCCAAGCGTGGTGGTGAGTTCAAGGCCAGCCTGGTCTACACATAGTGAACCCCAGACCAGCCAGGGATACATAGTAGGGCTCTTAGAATTCTTGTTTTAAATAAGAAAGGTAAGATACTGACACTGGAATTGTCAGGATGAAGGGGAGTGAAGTTTCACACACAAAAAGTTTCAGCTTCCGCCTCCAGGATGCATGTGTTGGGGAAGTTGCTTGTCTCGTGACTCTGGGCATGGAGCCCAAGCACTCCGTGCATGCTAGGCAAATTCTCTACCACTGGGTTATATCCTCATCTGTCTGTCTGTCTGTCTGTCTGTCTGTCTGTCTATTATTATTGAAGCAGGCCTTACTCTGTAGACCCACCCGGCCAGCCTTAAAAGTACAGCCAACCTACATCTGTCTCCTAAGTGTGGGATCATGAGTGTGTGCCACCACACTAGGTCAGTTTTGAGACAGAGTAGTTGGAATGACGGGCCCACCCCGTCCAGCAGGCTCAGCATCTGTGCCTTTAAAACTTGAGGTGAATTATGAGCTTTTCCATAGGAGGATGCCATGGAAGACAGAGAAGCTGAAGTGGGCCCCACCGTCATCCCCAGACACACAGTGAGCTGTGGACCCCACTGTCATCCCCAGCCCTGCTGTGAGCTGTGAGCACCACTGTCAGTCCCAGCCCTGCTGTGAGTTGTGGACCCCACTGTCATCCCCAGCCACGCAGTGAGCTGTGGACCCCACCATCAGCCCCAGCCCTGCTGTGAGCTGTGGGCCCTGCCGTCATCCCCAGCCACACCGTGAGCTGTGAACCCCCACCGTCATCCCCAGCCATGCTTTGAGCTGTGGACCCCACTGTCATCCCCAGCCACGCTGTGAGCTGTGGGCCCCGCCGTCATCCCCAGCCACGCAGTGAGCTGTGGACCCCGCCGTCATCCCCAGCCACGCTGTGAGCTGTGGGCCCCACTGTCATCCCCAGCCACGCTGTGAGCTGTGGGCCCCACCGTCATCCCCAGCCATGCCGTGAGCTGTGGACCCCACTGTCATCCCCAGCCACACAGTGAGCTGTGGGCCCAGCCGTCAGCCCCAGCCCTGCTGTGAGCTGTGAGCCCCGCTGTCAGCCCCAGCCACCCGTGAGCTGTGGACTTCAGACAGGTGACTTAATGAACTGTGCTTCAGCGTCTGCGTCTAGAACAGGGTGACGTCATCCTTACGGGCAGGTGAACCTCCCAGAACAACACCCGGCCCTTGGATTCATTCCTTTCCCCTTATAATCGTAACATCAAAGACTTGTAAGCTTGGGTTCTCAACAGGTTCCATCACTGGTCCTGCTGATACATTAGGAAATAGTCATTGAGGGCCGGAGAGATGTCATGGCTAGGGAAATGCGTGCTGCACAGGGGACCTGAGTTCAGCCCCACAGAACCCGTGTAGGAAAGCCAGGCAAAAAGGTTTTCTCGGGGCTGGTGAGATGGCTCAGTGGTTAAGAGCACTGACTGCTCTTCCAGAGGTCATGAGTTCAAATCTCAGCAACCACATGGTGGCTCACAACCATCTGTAATGAGATCTGATGCCCTCTTGTGGGGTGTCTGAAGACAGCTACAGTGTACTTACATATAATAAATAAATAAAATTTTTTTAAAAAGTAAAGGTTTTCTGAGACAGAGTCTGTCCGTGTGGCTCTGAGCATCCGGGAGCTTGCTATGTAGACCAGGCTGGCCTCAAACTCACAGAGTCCTGCCCGCCTGCCTCCGTCTCCTGAGTCCTGGGATTAAAGACATGCGTCACCACATCTGGCTAAAAATTTACCTATTTATGTATTTAGTGTAGATGTGTGTTTTGCCTACATGTATGTCTATGCAGTACACATATGTGCAGTTTACACAAAGGCCCGAAGACATCTGATCCCTTAGAATCAGGGTTATGGATGATTGTGAGCCACCATGTGGGTGCTGAGACTCAAACCTGGATCCTCTGGAAGGACAGCCAGTGCGCCTAACCACTGAGCCACCTCTGCAGTTAAGGGTGCACACACACATTCCCAGGACCACACCACTGTTATACTGGCGTTCCTGGGTCATGTAGGGAAGCAGGCTGAGCAAGCCAGTAAGCAGCATTCCATCATGGCCTCTGCTCCAGTCAGTTCCTGCCTCCAGGTGCCCGCCTTGCCTTCCCTTAATAATGGACTGTACGTAACCTGTGAATCAAACAAACCCTTTCCTCCCCAAGTTGCTTTTGGTTGGTGTTTTATCACAGCAACGGAAAAACAAACTTAGAAGACACACATACAGAAATAAATAGCAGTCAAGAGTTGGCACCTGGGGTGGAGAGATGGCTCAGAGGTTAAGAGCACTGACTGCTCTTCCAAAGGTCCTGAGTTCAATTCCCAGCAACCACATGGTGGCTCACAACCATCTGTAATGGGATCTGATGCCCTCTTCTGGTGTGTCTGAAGACAGCTACAGTGGACTCATCATATATACATAAAAAAAATTTAAGCCAGGCGGTGGTGGCACATGCCTTTAATCCCAGCACTTGGGAGGCAGAAGCAGGCAGATTTCTGAGTTCGAGGCCAGCCTGGTCTACAGAATGATTTCCAGGACAACCAGGACTATACAGAGAAACCCTGTCTTGAAAAATCAAAAAGAAAATATTAAAAAAAAAGTTGACACCCAAATTATCTCTCTGTGTGTGGAATCTACTCATTGAAACTCCTCTGAGTGGAAGACAGCCATGTACCCCGCGCCTCCAGTGTCTCAGCTGTGACCAGCTTACCTGTAACAGGCCCTACTCCTGTGGTTTTTCAGGGAATGTGAACACCAGGCGAAGTCCATAGACAGTGAGATTGAAGCCTACAAGAAGTCCATCATGCAGGAGGAAGAGAAGAACGAGAAGCTGGCCCGCTTCCTGAACCGCGCAGAGACAGAAGCCACGCTGGTGCAGAAAATGACCACCCAGTGCCTAAGCAAGCAAGAGGCTCTGCAGACCGAGTTTAACACGTACCAGCTTGCCCTGCAAGACACCGAGGAGATGCTGAACAAGAGCTGTGTGGTAAGCCATGGCCCCAACCCCAACCTCTGCCCTCCACCAGCCCACAGTTGGACATCCATGGGCATGACCTACCCACGGCTCTTCCTTCACAGGAACACTCGGCAGTCTTGAGCGAACTCCAGGTCGCCCGCCAGAATGTCCATCAGGAGCAGGAGTTACGGCAAAAGATGGACTTGTCCATCCTGGACAAGCTGCAGGAACACGGGACCTCCAGCAAGATGACCAAGTACTTTCAACAGCTCCTTCGGAAGCTTCAAAAGGAAAACACCAACCTGGTAGGTAGCTGCAGCAGACAGAGCAGGGGCTGGTCTGGAGCCAGAGACGTGAGCGAAGGGTTGAGGGGGGGAAGGGGGGCTCATTACTTTGTTTCTAGATGGCAAGGGAATACTTTCTATAATTATTTATTTATTTTTGTTTGGTTTTTTTTTTTTTTTGAGATAAGGTTTCTCTATGTAGCTATGGCCCTCCTGGAAGTTGGTATGTGGACCAAGCCGGCCTCGAATTCAGACATCTGCCCGACTCTGCCTTCCCAAGTACAGGGACTAAAGATGAGGGCCATCACACCCAGCCCTATAATTTATTTTAATTAATTACTTAATTTACTTTCTGTAGGGCTAGCGATGGAGCCTAGAGTCCAGCACATGCCAATGCCAGGCTAGTGGTGTACCACTGAAGAGACCCTCGGCCCTCCTTATCCTCCTTCTTCCTAAGACAGGGTCTCACATTGCCCCAGCTAGCCTCAAACTCACTGCTCTTTGTGTGAGTGTGTGTGTGTGTGTGTGTGTGTGTGTGTGTGTGAGAGAGAGAGAGAGAGAGAGAGAGAGAGAGAGAGAGACCTTGAATTTCTGACCCTCCTGCCTCACCTCTTATAGGTTTATAGTATAGGCCTGGGCCACCACACCCAGTTTATTGAGGTAGGATGTATGTGAGATTCTAAGAATGGCTGCAGGGCTCCCCAAGACATTTCTTTGTTTTGAGACAGGGTCTCACTACGTTGCCTGGGCTGACCTTGAACTTACGCCACAGCCCAGGCTAGGATCAAACTTGAGATCAGTATGGCTCATTAGTCTCTTGAGCAGCTGGGATGACACATCCAGCTAATAATTTCTTACTGTAAAAAAAAAAAAAAAAACCTGGGGAGCTTGCATGCGGTCCCGGGTTCTGCCCTCCAGCATAGAGCGGGGTGGGGAGGAGAGGAGGAAGCAGGAAAGAACACAGAAAGACACAATGAAAGCTGTAAGAGGCTGTACTCCTGCTGTCCAGGAAACCCTGTCTACATTTCTTTCCTTCTGTCCTTCTGCATACATTTAGACACACACACACACACACACACACAATCATGCTAACACTGCATTCTTGTTAAATATCTGGTTTCAGGTCCAATCAAATACATTATTTATTAGTTACAGAGAACTGTGACACAGTTCTGTTTTATTTCATTTTTTGAGACTCTCTCTCTGGAGCCCATTTTCCCAGGGATTTACCACGGAGCACATGCTGGCCACAGACCCACGGGTGTCTGCATGCCTCCGCCTCTCAAGTGCTGGTTGGATCCCTCTGGAATCTCTGTCTTGAGTGGCCCTGAGGAGGACATTGCCCCGCCCGCTAAGGGAGCATTGTCACCTGTGTCCGGCTGAGTACACATCCCCACAGGAGGGCTGCTCTGTTATCTTCTCACACCACATAGTCTTAGGAAGAGAGTCTGGCCCCGGCCCGGCCAGCGCAGGTCTGTACTATCAGCCGCCCCACACCGTGCGTGCAGATAACACCCCAGCCCAGGCTCTCTGGTTCCGTCCTGCAAACTGGGCGATGGGGAACACAGGAGTGTCTCTTCGGCTCCCTTGAGAACCTGAGCACTCATCTAGCTAGGCCCTGGGGGTTCAGCTGTCTTTCCTGTTCTCTCCAAGTGTGGCAGAGGACTGGACCTGCCCAGTAGCCAGCCACTGGTCCTTTCATGGTGGCCACTTGTCAGGGGTAGACGTGGCTGTTTCCACGTGTCCTCCTAAAAGGACAGCCGCTTGTACCGCAGCCTTGGCACCCGTAATTCACACATACCCTGGCAGGAGGGGAGCTCATTTCTGCCCTGACTGGACACAGCTGGCAGCAGCTAATGCATATACGGCCCCCCGGCTGGATCTCCTTGGAATGTCCTTCCCTTGGGAGCAGGGCAGGCAGCCAGAGAAGGTGGTCCCAGGTAGTTTTGAGACTCTAGGGGTCATGGTGGGTGTGAAGTAGCCTGCCCACCCCTGTGGCTGCACAGGCCAGTCTTGTCTTCACACAGCCCCGTCCTAGACTGGACATGAACCATCACCACCTATTCCCACCAGAGGGCAGTAAAGAGTCTTAGGCTAACAACTTGTGTGTTACCATGGTTTTCTAACAGAAGTGGAGCCCTTGAAAGGGGACGCGGGGGGGGGGGGGGGGTACTCGAAAGCCCTGTGAACTGGCGACAGGTGCACTGGTGACAGGTGTGGGAGGGAGGGAGCCCGTCTGGGGAGAGGATCAGAAGGTGGCAGTCACGTTCTGTCTGGAGCTGATGCAGGAGGAAGGGGAGAAGGGTGCAGAATCTCATCATAAACTCAGAGGCAGCATGGAGGTCCTGGGGTTCCCCCGGGTGGCCAGGCTGCTTTCCTTGGGTAGCAGAGGGTTGTGTTCCACCTGAACACAGTGCAAGAGGAAGAAAGATACCATGCCCTGAAAGGGATCCGGACAAGGAGTCCTACTGTGCACTGCACAGCCATTAAAAACCAGCTTTAATCTCAGCACCTGGGAGGCAGAGGCAGGTGGATCTCTGTGAGTTTGAAATCAGCCAGCACTCACAAGGAGAGACTTTCTCAAAAAAATTTTTTTTTAATTACATAAGAAAATGAGACAGGCTCTGTCAGACTGAAGACATCAGTAGAGTGTGCTCTCCCGAGGAGCACAGGAGGGCACAGGAGGACATACACAACACTGGGAGAAAGGGAAGGATTCCAGGTGTTCCTTCTGGTGGCTTTGTGACAGAGTCACCCATGATTCAACACCCCCTCTCCCCAAACATGTGCCCTGTTTTTGTTTACAAGGAAAACCAGACACGGGCAGCTTGCTTTCTCCTCTCCTCTCCTGTCCTCTCCTCCCCTCCGCACCCCTCCCCTTCCCTTTCCTCTCCTCTCTCCTCCTTCCATCCCTCCCTCCCTCCCTTCAAGGTCTTACTATATAACCCTGGTTGACCTGGAATTCAACATGTAGACCAGGGTGGTCTCAGACTCGTGGTGATCCTCCTGCCTCTACCTCCCAAGTGCTGGGATTAAAGACATGAAGCAGCCAGGAGCAGATCTCTGAGTTTGAGGCCAGCCTGGTCTACAGAGCAAGTTCCAGGGCAGCCAGGGCTATACAGAGAAACCCTGTCTCAAAAAAATAAACAAACCAGCCCCCAGCCCCCCCCCTTTTTGAGAAAGAAAGAGTGTGTCTTCTGTAGCCCACACTGATGTCCCCTCAGCATCCCATGAGCTGGGATCACAGGCACATGCCTCAACAACACTTTCTTGTATGCAAGCGCTCTCCATTGGGTAAGCAGGCCCCTTGTGCTTTGTGGTGGTCCTTGCAGGTCCTTGAGATACAGGGCCAGTTAGCTTCCTCCCTATCGCACTCAGGGATCTCTCCGGTATACCCTCGGAATTCTTGTCGAGGACACAGCAGTCTAGCGCGGCCAAATGGCAGCGAACGCTCAGACCTACAACTGCCCTTCATGCCCTCAGGTGACACACCTTTCAAAAATCGACGGCGATATCGCCCAGGCCACCCTGGACATCACCAACACCAACTGCAAAGTCGACATGCATAAGAAGACGCTGGCAGAGCTGGACAAGGAGGTCAAGCGGTTCAACGAACTCATCACCAACAGCGAGAGCGAGATCGTCCGGCGGACCATCCTCATCGAGAGGAAGCAGAGCCTCATCAACTTTTTCAACAAACAGCTGGAGCAGATGGTGTCCGTGCTGGGGGTGAGCCACCGCCCTGAGCTCCGAGCCACAGCCCGGGAGCTCACAGACCGCCTCCATCCCCTCCCCCATCACAGCAGTGAAGTGTCCATGTGGCCATCGTGCTATTGGTCTCACAAGACCAGGAAGGAAAGGGTCTGGGCTGGGTGGCACAGCTGCTCCCGGCTCTGTAACTGGAACCGAATTCCACATCATACACATCTGGCGTGGGCCTTCTTTTGATCTTGTTTGTTTGTTTTGGGGGACAGAGTCTGGCCATGTGTCCCTACTGGACCTAGACCGTGAGGTCCTCCTACCGCCCCAGCTTATGAATGCCGTGTGCCACCACATCTGGAGTCTTTTGGTTTTCTTAATGGCTTGTGAGCCACACGGACACATAGCTGGCGGCCTGGACTTGACCTACTACTAATACTGCCCTAGGAAATGTGTCATGAATTTGAGGCCCCAGGTCCCACCTGTCTCCCAGGCACCTGTAATCTGAGGGCCAACTGTGGGCTTCAACTCAAGTAAATCAGAAAGGCCTGGTGCTGAAGAAGCCCTAAACCTTGATGGTCTGGGGTCAGAGGACAGTATGGATCCTGGCTGCAAGTATACAAAGTCTCCTTGTGGGACAAGTGGTGCCCACTTGTGAGGATTCCCTGTGCCCCTAGAGTCAATGCCTTGAGTCATGATTATCCATAGCCCACTCCGAAAGAAGGCCTGCAGGGAGCTAGCTCAGTCAGTCATAAGGATATGGGGTCACCCCGCACCCACAGTAAAAGTCAGGCATGGGACCTCTGCACCCCAGGGCTGGGAAGGAGGCTGGAGGATTGCTTGTAACCTGCTGACCAGTCAGTCAGTCTAACCAACCAGTGAGTAACAGGTTCAGCAGGAAACCCTGTCTGAACAAACTAACGCTCAGTGTGGAAACCTCACCCCCGTGGGTACACAAGCGCGCGCGCACACACACACACACACACACGTATACACACCACACATAATAAGTGCACGCCCGTGGACCCCCAGGCTCATGCTTCACTATGATTGAATCTCCCTCAGGGAGAAGAAGCTGGACCCCTGGAACTGGAGATCAAAAGGCTGTCGAAGCTGACGGAAGAGTCCAACACCGGAGTGGCTGAGGCGCAGATGACCTGGCTGCGACTGCAGCAGGAACTGGTCCAGGTCACGCACGAGCGGGAGGAGCAGCTGGTGTCCGTGGACCAACTGAAGAAGGAGGTGCACATCATGGAGCAAAAGAAGCTTCGCATAGAAAGTGAGCCTGGGGCGCCCTGGGGCAGGGACTACGCAGCCCTGAGCTCCTACATTAGTGCTCCTCCAGCCACGTGACTCCCAGACCACACCTATAACCCCAGTAGTCGGTGGGCGGAGCCTGTAAGTTTGAGGCTGGTCCCGGGCTACATAGAAAGACCCTGTTTCAAAACAAAGCAAGCCACGAAAATGCTGAAGCCACCTAGCCTGTCAGCGTTATTCACCCGTGCTCCCGAGGTGTGTGGGGCACGGGAACAAAACACTCCTTCAAGGGAACTGCGGAACTCAGACAAAAGCAGCCAATCTCCTCAACCCCGCCCCTAACTAGAGTTAGAGCCTTCTGTTCCCGCCCACCACAGACCTCAGAAGCACAGTTGAAAACCCTTAGCCACTCGGAGCGGTGGGTCCCATCAGGTTGACCCTGTGCTCAGGAGAAACGACCTTACAGCAGCAGCCTCACCAGCTGCGTCTGAGACCCCAGGGCCTGCCAGGGTCACCACCAACATACAGCACCCGACTGGGACTTCCTGCATCCCATGTGGCCCAGTTAGGTCCGGAGCTACTGTGCCTGCCCACTTCCCAGAGAGCCCACCGCATCCCCTCACAGCCGTTGGCCCCTCACAGCTACCTAGCTGCTGGGGAGGATCAGGTGTGTGGCTGCCTGGCACGGAAGGGAAGAGAAGTGTGGGAAGGCAGAGCTGACTGGATGCGAAGCCCCCCACCCCCAACCCGTGGGTGAGATCAGCTGGGGCAAAGATAACCACATGCAAAGCTCTGAGCCAGCCAAGGACACTGGTGTGGGAATGGCAATGAACAGCAGAATTGTGTAGTGTGTGCTTGTGTGCGTCCTGTACCCTGCTGTTTTTTTTTACACCAAAAAAGGCAAGAGCATCTTTTGTTCTTTCTCCTTCCCATCCTGCTTTCCCCAGATACCCAGAGCATCTGAACCCCACGCACCTCTGCTCTCTCGGCCCCACCCACCCTTGCTCTCGGCCCCACCCACCCCTGCTCTCCGTCTGGGCTTCTACCGCGCTTGGTCCTTGCAGTTCCCTCCAGGGATCAGGCTTTGGAAAAGAAAGTCCAGGAAGAGGCACCCCCTGTCCCCCAATCCGTGGAGGGGCACCTGGTTGAGTCAGACCGGGCAGGAAGGAGCCACAGGAGGACATGGCTGCTGCCTACTGAGGACTCCTAACCCTCTGTCATCCCTCCACTTGCCTGTCCCCTGCAGACAAGATTGAGCATGAGAAGAGGGAGCAAAAGATAGTGAGCCGTCACATGAGGGACCTGGACAATGACCTGAGCAAGCTCAACATGCTGCTGGACAAGAACCGGTGCAATTCAGAACTGCTGGAGCAGAGCAACGTGGTGGCCGAGACCGAGTTCGTGCGCACGTTGAAGGTCAGTCCCACCCACCGCACCCTCAGGTGTGGAGGGCCAGCCCTCTCATGGGCACGCAGGTCCTCCATCTGGGCAGCCTCCCTAGAGTGGCTCGAGGAGGGATCGTGCTGTTGGTCTGAGGCCTCGAGGGTCCTGAGGAGCTCTAGGGGCCACGAGCCTTCCTCACAGCTCTCCTTGGTCCCCACAGGACGCAGAAAGAGAGACCATCCAAATGCAAGAAAAGCTGACCGAACTCTCTGAAGAAAAGGCCGCCCTCCTCAACAGCCTGGTGGAGGCCGAGTGAGTAAGGCCATGTGCTAAAGGTCACCAGGCTCGTGAGGAGTCTGTGGGGAAGGTTGGCCTCCAAATATTGGCACCACTGGGTTACCTCTGAAGGCCCAGGAGAACCACAGAACCACCATACAGATCTGTAGAACACCTCTCGGCAGCAACCACCAGGCGGGCCAATCACCTCTGGTTATCGAGGGGTTTCTCTGAGATAAAACTTTATAAAGTTAACCTAATTTCTATGAAAAACAAAAGAAGTGATACACAAACCCAACCCTAAGTGTTTTACACTATAACCAAGCATTGAGGGTAGAAAAGAAAAAAGCAGGGAACTGGCTCAGTAGATGAGGGAGCTTGCCACGTAAGCATGAGGACCTGAGTTCAAGTCCCCAGCACCCACGTAACCCAGGCAATGGCCAGGTGTGCCACAGCCCCAGATGACAGAGCTCTGTGAGAGAGACCTTGTGTCCTGAGAATACATGAAGATTGTATTCAGCAGGAAACCCGAAGTCTTCTGGCTTTGGTATGTGCACAGGTGCACTCCAAGCCCCGGGCAGAGGCGGGGTTTCTGTCACCCCAACTAAAACCACTCTGTTTCTGACACTGCCTCTTCTACCTCCGAAGACACCAGATCATGCTCTGGGAGAAAAAAATCCAACTGGCCAAGGAGATGCGCAACTCAGTGGATTCTGAGACCGGGCAGACGGAGATCCGTGCCATGAAGGCCGAAATCCATAGGATGAAGGTAAGCTGTCCAAGCGCCCCGGGGGTGGGGTGGGGGGAGATTCCCGGGGGAGACCTGCCGCTGCACAGTGACTACACTCCAGCAAACATGGCTGCAGGCTCTGTGTCACCACCCACCTCTCACACCAGGATCTGCCTGCACCGTGCAGAATGTAATCCTAAAACAGCCAGGAGATACACGCCGCCTCATGAAATGTTGTTTTATCTCAAGTCAAAGCAACCAAGGCCCTCTGATCTTTTCAAATACTGGTTGTAAAGCTGGGTTCCCCAGCCCGTTAATCCCGCTGTGGGACAGAGAGCCTCATATGGGCTGGTGTGGTGTCCACATCTCTAATACCAGCAATTTGAGGCCAGCCTGGTCTAAACAGCGAGTTCCGAGCTAGCCAGGGTGACACACTGTCTCAAAAAAACAAAAAACAAAAAAACAAAAAAACAAAAACAGCTGAGAAAACCAGGTCCAGAGGGCCCTCATTCCATCTCTGAGGTGTAGCTCGACTTCACTAAATCACAAGTGACCATCAGTTTAAGGTTCAAGACCTTAAAGACAAAAATAAGAGCCATTAGTGGCTGGAGAGATGGCTCAGTGGTTAAGAGCACTGGCTGCTCTCCCAGAGGTTCCAGATTTGATTCCCAGCACCCACATAGCAGTTCGCAACTGTCTGTAATTTCAGTTCCAGTGATCAGGTGTCCTCTACTGGCCTTCACGGGCACCAGGCACGCACATGGTGTAAAGACATGCATACAGACAGGATGCCCATATACGCAGAGTAAAAATTTAAATAAAAAAAAAAAACTTGGGAGGCAGAGGCAGGCGGATTTCTGAGTTCGAGAGTTCGAGGCTAGCCTGGTCTACAGCGTGAGTTCCAGGACAGCCAGGGCTACACAGAGAAACCCTGTCTCGAAAAACCAAAAAAAAAAAAAAAAAAAACAATAAATAAATAGATCAGGGTCGGAGAGGTGGCTTAGAAGTCAAGAGCGCTGACTGCTCTTCCAGAGGTCATGAGTCTAATTCCCTGTGACCACGTGGTAGCTCACAACCATCTGTAATGGGATCCGATGCCCTCTTCTGGTGTGTCTGAAGATAGCTACAGTGGACTCACCTACATGAAATAGATAATTCTTAAAACAAAAACCAAAACCTGAAGATCAAGCCACTTTAAAAAAAAATACATCAATTAATCAATTAGATTAACTAATCAAGAGCCGGGCGGTGGTGGCGCACGCCTTTAACCAGCACTTGGGAGGCAGAGGCAGGCGGATTCCTGAGTTCGAGGCCAGCCTGGTCTACAGAGTGAGTTCCAGGACAGCCAGGGCTATACAGAGAAACCCTGTCTCGAAAAACCAAAAACAAAAAAGATTAACTAGTCAAAGCGACATCGTTTTCCAGTGGAACCTATTACGTAAAGAAAGGTCTCTGGCCGTGGCTGCTCTTTAGCTGTTATGGATGAGCAGAGGATGGACATAGCCTGGCATTAAAGAACTTGTGTATGAGCGACTGCCAATTTGACAGGACCTACAATCACCTAGATAGAATACAATGTCTGTGAGGGGTCTCATCTAGATTCGTTATCCCTGGGCAGACCTGTGAGGGGTCATCTAGATTTGTTAGCCTTGGGCAGACCTGTGAGGGGTCATCTAGATTTGTTAGCCCTGGGTGGACCTGTTAGGGGTCATCTAGATCAGGCTAATTGAGGTTGCACGAGCCGCCCGAGCCGTGATCCCCACTGTGGTCCGCACTATAGTCCTGGACTCAATAAAGAGGAAAAGGAGCCCAGCACCGGCATTCCTTACTGCCTGTGGATGCAGCGTGACCAACCAGCCAAGCCCCTGCTCCCTTCCCTGCCACGACAGACTGTACCCCTCAGAACTGCAAGCCAGAATAGGTGTCCGCCCCACCCCCTTTAACTTTTTGTCAAGATATTTCATCACAGCAAGAAAGTAATTAATACATCTAGCAACCATAAAATATAATGACAATCACCTCTATCTATGTCTGTAATCTATCCAGCATCCAGGGAACATAAGTTCAAGAACACCCTCAACTACATTTTTGAGACCCTGAATCAAAAAGAAAAAAAATACATTTTAAAAAAATCCTCAATTTAATATTCAAAGCATAGGCAGTCTGGATATGGTAGTACAGACCTGTAATCCCAGCACTCGGGAGGTGGAGGCTGGAGGATCAGGAGTTCAAAGTCGTCCTCGGCTACATAGAGAAATCAAAGTCAGTTTGACCTACACTGTCTCAAAAGAAAAGCACAGACACACCGTGTGATTGCTGCAGCAAACTAACTCCCTGTCTCTGGGTCAGGGGAAAAGCTGAGGGGCTACCCCCACTCTGCCTCCAGATCTCTGCATGCCGTATTGCTAAATAAGCTCACAGGGGTCAGTGCCCCCCTCCACACATGCAGAAGGCTTGGTTTGCTCCAGCTCCACAAACCGGTACACACACTCTTTTCTGCAGCTTGTTAACAGCACAGATGCAACCCCAGCCTCATCTGTGACAGGCAGCTCCGCTTTGGTGATTGCTGGAGGCCAGGCTGATAGATCCGAGGCCATTTCAGTCATAACTGCTGGCTTGCCTACCAGGTGACCCTCACTATGTTCCAAACCCTACAACACAGAGCCACCGAGACCACCAACTGGGCATGGGTTGCCGTGGTGAGCCAACAACACACGGGCTTGCTTTCTTTTTAGAGAATTTGTTATCTTGAGCTAGGCATAGTCAGCGCTTGTAAGGCAGATTTCTGTGAATTCAAGGCCAGTTGATGTTGGATAAATTGGTAGCTGGTGAGGTTCATTCATCTAGCTGTTCACCTTTGTCTAGGTTAGCACCGAAACCTCCTCTTACTGCATTGAGGTGTGGCCACTCAAGGCATACTCTGTTCACAAGTCCCCGTTAAATCCTCCTGTAACCGTAGGTCTGTGGTCACTCCCTCCCCGCCCCCGTTTCCGGTTCCTCCTGCTTCCCTGAGCTGAGTGGAGTTTATTTAGACCCAGTGAGGGATCCCCAGAGAAGCAGAGCCAGTCAAGCTCCATTCAGTAATGCGCCTGCACACAACGCTGTTCCCATAAGAGACCTAGGAGGGCCAGCACCTAAAGTCAGCCCAAATCTACAGACCGAAGAGCCCGTGCAGCTCCAGATCCACCACCTAGCACACTCCAACCGCAGCCTTGAGGGTTTACATCTCCCATCATCTTCCGAAGAGGCTGGCTCTTCTTGGCTCAGTCTGCGCATGCTCGCGCATGACCTCTTCTACAGGCTGCCTCACAGATAGACGCTGCTATCTGGCTGCCCTTAGGCCAATCAAACGGACGCATAAAAGCAAACGTTGAAATCTCCTCCCCGTTCCTGAAAACTAGATTACCAAAGGTTGTATATGAATCCTCAACTTTAAGGAGGCCTGTCAGATCGCTTCTGTGCGTGTCACATGACAGACAGCTTCCTGTTCCTGTCACCTCCCAGGAACCAACACCAGTTCTGGGTGTTGTCAGTCGTTGCCACTTCCTTATGTACTGTCCTTGTGTTTTGCATTACGTATGTGCGTGTATGCACATCTGTGTGTGAACATGGTGCGTGTCTATGTGTGTGTGCTTGTGCGAGTAGAAGCCAGGACAACTTCAGGAACATCGGCCACTCCCTTTGAGACAGGGTCTGGGTCCCAGGGGTCCCTCCCCCGCATCCCCGTCACAACCTCTCCAGCACTGGGATTATAAGCGTGCGCCACCACACCTGACACTTGCATGTGAGTTCTGAGGATCAAAACCAAGTCTTTATTCTTCTAAGGCAAACACTTTGGCAGGCTGAGCACCCCGCTCCCCCCCCCTTTTAAAAGTCATCTCCATTCGAAACCTTCACACAATTCTATATGCTTATTTAAACCAGCTACAAATACTCTGGTGACTCTAGACAGTTCCTTTGCAGCCCATGGTCCATGCTCACACACCCTGGGCCCCCAGCTTCTATCCCCAGACCTTCCCAACCCAGATTCTTCAAGCATCACTGTTTGGTCCCATCCAAAGAGTCATGACATTGCTAACCACACCCCCCTCTCTAGACAAGAGTCCACCTGCCCTCTCAACACTCCTGGCATACAACCTGGTACCTTCATCCTCCTCTCCTCCTGCCTCTGGCCATCCCTTTGTACCATCTTCGAGAATATCCACACCTTCTCCCTCCACGTGCGAGGTTCCCCCCAGACTCCTTGAGGCCCTCTCCGCACGCCTGACACCTCACCAGTGTTAAAGCAGACAAGGCCGGAAGGGTGGACCGCTCACCCTCAGCGTCCCACCTCAACTCTCTGTCTTATGTCCCCAGGTTAAGCATGGGCAGCTGCTGAAGCAGCAGGAGAAAATGATCCGTGACATGGAGCTGGCTGTGTCCCGCAGGGAGACCATCGTCATCCAGGCTGAAGGGCAGAGCAAGGTAGACAGGAAGATGATCACCAAGACAGAGTTCCACTACCAGCAGAGCGAGCTGCGGAAGAAAGTCAGGGAGGTTCACAAGGTATGGCCCGCTCCTCCTCGGCCCCCCAGACCCAGTGACGTACCCTGGCTGCGTGTCTGTATTGGAGGCGGAGCAAGGGCATATGGTAGGTTCACTGCATATGGTCAGTAGGCATCTCCATCCATCCCCATTGGCTGGCCCAAGGTATCTGCTCCCACCTGGTCACCCCAGCAGGACACAGAGAGTGGCCACCCGCCTGCTCTGGCTCGTCCACTCAATTCTGAGGGACACGGGAAGACCAACAGACCTTGGATCGTGGTCTACAACGCCCACCCGTTCCCAAGTTCCCTTCTCCCCATTCCCGTGGGTCGAGGTTACTGCTGCCTCGTCATATCTGTGACAGAGTAGAAACAGGGGAGGGAAGATAGAACTCAGGGAAGGAGCAAAGCAATCCCTCCCACACTGGTGGCACACGCTGCTGTGTCTTCTGCACCATGGCCCCTGTCTGGGAAGAGAGACACGTGTCCCGTGTGCCTTTCCGCTCAGTGAAGAGGTGGCATCTGTCAGAGCATCAGCGCTTGATGGGTGCTTCCAAGCACACTGGCCAAAGCCGCTCTTAACCCTGTCACTGGGAGTCTGTCTTGGGTCCAGCAGACTGTCCACACTGAGCACCACCCAGCACACTGAAGAGGCCACTTCCTGCTACTTCCTGCTAGCAGAAACAGACTGTAGGGACCCTGAAGGAGCCTTGAAAAAAAACACCAGTACTCAGGAGAGAGGAGATGGGGAGAGAGGCTGATGGGAATGTGGCAACTTCCTCCCTAAAAGAAGGCTAGACACACAACTGGGGGCCCACTCCCTTCTAAGGCCAGGGCCCTGGGATGAAAGTTCCCAGCTGTCCTGAAGCCCTCACTATCAGGCTCTGTGGCCTTGGGCATATTTGGGAGAAACAGGAGGAGTACCTACCTCCTGGGGAGTCAGATGGTCACATGTAACAGTGTATAAGGTGGCGGTATCAAGGAGATGCCTCACAATCCATGACATGGATCTGGCTGTGGCCAGCAGGGAGACCACTGTAATCCAGGCTGAGAGATCTGGGGGTGTGGCCTCAGCCCCACTGTTCCCTCATGTCTGGGGTGCATTTGTCCCACCCGTCTGCCTCAGCTTACTGACCTGTGGAACTCACCTCACAGGATCATGCAGAGAAATAAGCAGAGAGATGAGCAAGTCCCTGCAGAAGCTCAGGCAGAGACAGGGGAATTGCCTCAAGTTGAAAGCCAGCTCGGGCTATATATGAGACCCTGTCTGAAAACAATAGAGAATTCAAAAGCCTCTGTAGACTATGTCCTGTATAGGGAAAGATCAGGTAAGCAGAACCATAACCATTTGTGTGGACAGGCGTGGCCAGAAGCTTCCCGAGTGAGGTGGCCAAGAGGCCTGTCTCAGTCATCAGTTGCTACACCTAGCGGCCTCTCCTGTTCCTTCCTCAGCTTCCTGCTGAATGTCTGACCCTTCCACCTGCCCTAGCTGCCTTCTCAGTCCCCACCAGAACCTCTGTCCTCTCTGCCCCACACCCAGAACCAGGCATCAGTGGGCTTTGCATCCCACTGGCCATCACAGCATGGCCCCCACCTTCTATACACAAATGGGGCCCTTACCTCCTTCCCCCAGTCCCTCTCGAAGTCCTGTGTTCCCCAGGAGACCTCCTAAGGGTTACTGTTTGTAGTTCACCGTTACTCAGACCCCCAGTCAGCCACCAAACACTGCCAGTACCTCCCTTGTCCTGGTCATGTTACTTCTCCTGATGGCCCCAAGCTCATACCTGCCACTATGCCGTGAACCCTTCCAGAGAAGCCATGGAGCTCTGCAGAGGAGCCCAGCCCCCACCGCTGATCAGCCCACTCCTACTGTCCTTCCTTACACTTCCCACGGAGCCTCAACCCTTCCTGGAGTCAAGGCTTCAGGGATGATCTTGGTCCCCATGTCACTGTGCTCCGTCAGACCACAGACTGGCACAGACTGTTTCCCCTGTGTCTTCTGTGAAGCCACGCTTCCCTAATTGGCACTTTCAGCCTCTAGGACCTGCTGTCTCCGAGCTCATCCCACCCCCAACCCCAGTATACATTCTATAAGCTCTGTGGCTGTTGGATTCCTCTGTGGGAATTGTGGTGGTTTGGATGAGATGCCCCCATAGTCTTGGGCATTCGTATACTTGGTCCCCTGTTAGTGGTACTGAATACTTGGTCCCCCATTGGTGGTACTGAATACTTGGTTCCCCATTGGTGGTACTGAATACTTGGTTCTATGTTGGTGGTACTGAATACTTGGTCCCCTGTGATGGTTTGTAAATATTTGGCCCAGGAAGTGGCACGATTAGGAGGTGTGACCCTGTTGGAGTAGGTGTGTCACTGTGGGCATGGGCTAGAAGACCCTCATCCTAGCTGCCTAGAAGTTCGTCTTCCACTAGCAACCTTCAGATGAAGATGTAGAACTCTCAGCTCCGCCTGTACCTTGCCTGCCTGGACGCTGCCATGTTCTTCCTGCCTTGATGATAATGGACTGAACCTCTGAACCTGTAGGCCAGGCCCAACTAAATGTTGTCCTTTGTAAGATTTGCCTTGGTCATGGTGTGTGTTCACAGCAGTAAAAACCTAACTAAGACAGAAGTTGGCACCAGAGACTGGGGTATTACTGTGATAGGTCCAACCATGCTTTTGTTTGGAAGAATGTGGATTTGGGTACTTTGGATTTGGAAAGCAGTGGAATACTTCAAATGGGACTTAATGAGCTGTCCTAGTAGGAATATGGAAGACTTTGTTACTGAGAGTCATTTGAATTAGAGGGCCTAGATCAAGAGGTTTCAGTGGAGAAGAACTTAAGTATGTGGCCTAGAGACAGTTTTTGTGGTATTTTGCTAAAGAACATGGCTGCTTTTTGCCCTTGTCTTCAGAGTCTGCCTAAGGCTAAGGTGAAGAGACTCAGATGAATTGCATTGACAAAGGAAGTCTCAGAATTGCCCATCACAGATTTTGTTCTCTGGTTAAGTCTCATGAAGAGCGTTTTGAATAAGCATAGCAAACTTACAAAGGAAAAATATAAAAATAAATGGTTTGAGTCTTAAATGGGCACCAGAATGTGAAATGGAGTTGAATTCTGTGTTCAAGGATCTTAAACTGAATTAAGAGAGTGGTGACCTTGGGTCAAGATCCTACCCAGCAAAATTTAGATCCAGGCATGGCTGATTCACACCTTTAATCTCAGGAGATAAAGCCAAGCAGATCTCTGAGTTCAAGGCCAGCCTGAGACAGAGCAGGTTCTAGGTGAAGAAAAGCTTAGATTCAGGCGTGGTGGGACATGCCTTTATTTCCTGTATTACAGGAGACAGAGCCACGCAGATCTCTGAGTTCAAGGTGAATCTACAGAGCAAGATCCTGTGCAACTTTCAAGGAGTTGGAAAAGAGGAAGCTAGTGATGATATAATAGAACAAGAGGGCCAGGTTCCAGATCCTGGAAGCAGCAGAACTTTAGCAGTTTCAGCCTCGTGCATCTGGCTTTAGAGTCCAAAATAGAAGGGACTACTGGGACAGTTGGTGCTGGTGAGTTGGAGCTAAGAAATTAGTGATAATTAAGGAGATACCAGCATCACTGAGGTGAAATCTTCTGGGAAGTGTTTTCCGAGAACACAAAGAAGCTGCGTTCCAGACATAGCCAAGGCTGTACCTTGTTCTGGAGCTGTACTTGGTAATGTGTAAGAGTCACCCAGGTGGTACTGGCTTTGAAGGCATGAAGGCGTCATGAAGAGCAGCTGAGACTTGGCACTGTAAAAGGCCATGGAAGGCCGTTGGTGAAGGTGCAGCCCCAGTTGCAGTTGACACCCCAGGACTGAAGAGGTTATGCAAAAAAGCACCATGAAGAGAGCCTATGAGAGGCTATTGGTGAAGCCTAGTTGCAGCGGAAGACCCCAGTGTATTGGAGATGTCAGTACCATGGGGTGACCACCAAGAACAGCAGCGGCAGTGAAGTGGATCAACCTGAGCTTAGAATGCCTCAGAGGGCAGAGCTGAGAAGTGATGCCAGCCCTTTGGAGGAGCCCAGAAGATCATGTGTGGATCCCAGACATTGGAATAAGAAGCTCTGAAACTGAAGTTGACTTGGGGACCCCAAGATGTTAAAGATGCCAGAGTCATGAGATGCCTGCTGAGGAAAGCTGCTAACAGGGAGTGGAACCAGCCCTGGAGAAAGAAGTCTGTTGCAGTCAACAAAGATGAAAAAGGAGCTGGAGATCTGAAGACTGCTTTGACATCAGCCATGGAGATGCAGAGTCTGGAGTGTGCCCAGCTGGTTTCCCGTCTTGCTTTGGGTTAAGTGATTGGATGATTCTCAGAAGAGACCTTGAACTTTGGACTTTTAACAATGTTGAGACTGTTATCAACTATGGGGACTTTGGAAGTTGAGCTAAATTTATTTTGCATTATGCTATGTTTGGGTATAGCCTCCCTGTAGACTCATATGTTTGGACAAGCCTATGGAGACCAGGGAGTGGAATATGATGGTTTGTAAATATTTGGCCCAGGGAGTGGCACGATTAGGAGGTATGACCCTGTTGGAGTAGGTGTGTCACTGTGGGTGTGGGCTGAAAGACCCTCAACCCTAGTTGCCTGAAAGTTAGTCTTCCACTAGCAGCCTTCAGATGAAGATGCAGAACTCTCAGCTCCTCCTGCACCGTGCCTGCCTGGATGTTGCCATGTTCCCACTTTGATGATAATGAACTGAACCTCTGAATCTGTAAGCTAGTCCCAATTAAATGCCATCCTTATAAGAGTTGCCTTAGTCATGGTGTCTGTTCATCCCCCGTTGGTGGTACTGAATACTTGGTCCCCCAGTTAGTGGTACTGTTTTGAGAGGTTTAGGAGGTATAGGCTTGCTGAATGTTAGCTGGAATAAACCGTCCCTTCTCTAAGTGGCCCTGGCCATGGTGTTTTATCACAGCCATAGGAAAGTGACTGAGACAGGAAACCCCCTCCCCCTAGAATAAGTACTCTGAGGCACATGGCTGATCCTCAGCCAAACGTCTCTGTCTGCCAACTGGATGCTGGAGTCCCGTTTCTCTCCCAGGCCACAGAGGAATGCTCCAACACCATCTCAGAACTGGAAGAAACTCAGAAGCTCCTGAGCAGCTCCCTCCAGGAGAAGCAGCAGTCACTGTCAGATATGCAGAGCGAAACGGATGTTCTCGAAGAGGAGATCAGCCAGCTCACAGCTCTCAAACGGCAGGTAAATGTCTCGGGAGGCCCCTGGGCCTGAAGCATTCCCGCAATCACCCTGGGAGAAGCCTGTGCAGCCCTGGGCCGAGATCTCCCTGCGCCCGGCCACACCTCTGGCTGCTGATGGGCACCACCTACACAACACCTTCACATCCTTTGCGGGTTGTTCATACCATAGGACATCTTAATCTCTGCCCGTTATTGGCATCCATTCTGGATGCCAGGGCCACCAGACAGAACAACGTCGCTAGCTGTATTGAAAAGTTTGTTCTTGGGACACGAAGACTGAGGATGTCAAAGCTCCTCCTTAGATAGAATCAAGGTGCCGAGGTTTTGAGAGGAGCAATTCAGGAAGGCCCGTGTGGGAAACGTGATTGAGTCAAGACTTTAAGGAGGTGGGAGAAGAGGAAGCCATTCAGGTAGGTGGGACAGCGTGGCCAAGAGGGGTCTGCCCAGGCCACACTGAGCAAGTGTGAGGAGCAAGATATTGACCTTGGGAGATGGCAGAGAGCTCTAGGTCTGAAGGTGACCTGGAATCAGGATGACACACACCCCCACCCCCCACACTCGGCTCTGGGACAGCATGAGACAGAGCATCAAAGGTAGACTTCAGAGGCATGGCAAGCCAGAATCCCAGTGTCTGAGTGTTATTCAGAAGTTGCCGCACTGGGATTTCCAGCTAGGCTGACTGTGGTACGAGACTAAGAGTACCTCAAGGTCTTGGGAAGGAATCCAGCACCAGTCCTGACAAACTCCTCCTCTTAGCAAAGTTCTGACATGGTGGAAAAAAAGGCCCCTCCCCTTGAGCCCTGGGACCCTCAATACCACCCCTCTTCTTTGGCATCCCCTCCAGAATGGGTTGGGGACTGGAGTCCTCCTGACACACATGGTCTCTTTCCCACCCAGAACCTTTTGGAGATCGTGACCCTGCAAACCCGTGCCAAGTACCTGCAGTCCGCCGTTGACGGGAAATACGTGTACCTGCACCGCAATGTCAAGTCCCAGCTGATGGAGCGTAAGCGCCTGAGCACACGGCTGTCCCAGCTCAACAGTGTCCTCTCCCGAGTGCAGGAGGACTACCCCCAGTACCAGGAGATGCTGCAGAAAATTCAACAGAAGATTGTCAGCAAGCTGGAGCCCCCAGAGCCCTCCTAGACAGCGCCTGGCTCATGTCTTCCAGGATTGCCTTGGAAGCAGACCCAGGGAGTTACCCCGTGTCCTGAAAAGCCACGTGCCCCTTAACATGACACCCTGTCTAAGAAACACTGGCAAGCCAGACACATGGATCGTAACCTCTCCGCTGCTCACACCAAGTGTAATGCAGCCACCCCAATCCCAACGCTTGGGTGAGCATGCCAGCAGAGGCATTACCTGGGCGTGAAAAAAATCCACTTTCCTGTTAGACTTACCTGCCCAGGTAAAACCATCCATTGGTAGTTCTCCGGTCTGCGTCCAGTGCCCCCCACTGTCCTGGGACAGGCCCTCAATTTTGTGGAGCAAGTAACGGAGAGAGGATCCCAAGGAAGCCAGGAGCAAGGTAGACTGTTTCAGCCCTGGGATAGCCTTCTCCAGCCCATCTGAAGCCCAGAAGACACCCTCATTCTCCACCCCACTGAAAGCTCAGCCTTCTCCTGCCCCCACCTCCCAGGAAGCATTAAATTAGACTGAAACCCAAAGACCAAAGCCAAGGACCCCAGGAGTCCAAATGTCTATGCATCAGACACTCCTTCAGTAAGGGGGCCCTTACCTCATCCGCCGACCACTGACCTCGTCTTCATCTCTGCCTCCCCTACCCTGGGATTTCTAAGCACCAGTTGCCTTTTTCACTTGTGTAGACGTGAAATGGAAAACGTCCTGTGGAATAATTTCAGTTTTAAACTTTAACAGCAGAAAAAAAAATAAAGTTTACAAAAGCTGTTTCTGGTCAAAAGAGTTTAAAACACATTTATCTTAAGATTGATATATAAAAACAGCCAGGGGGCTGGAGAGATGGCTCGGCGGTTAAGAGCACTGGCTGCTCTTCCAGAGGTCCTGAGTTCAATTCCCAGCAACCACGTGGTGGCTCACAAACATCTGTAATGGGATCTGATGCCCTCTTCTGGTCTGTCTGAAGACAGCGACACTGTACTCATACACATAAAATAAATAAATTTTGTTTTTTTCGAGACAGGGTTTCTCTGTGCAGCCCTGGCTGTCCTGGAACTCACTCTGTAGACCAGGCTAGCCTCGAACTCTTGAACTCAGAGATCCGCCTGCCTCTGCCTCCCAAGTGCTGGGATTAAAGGCATGCGCCACCTCCGCCCGGCAATAAATAAATCTTTAAAACAAACAAACAAACAAAAAAACAGCCAAGTGGCTGGAAAGACCCCAGCCCTGCCCACCCTACTCATCCCCCCACGAACACAGACACACACCCTACCCCAACACACCAGCCCTGCCCCCATCCCGCCCTGGACACACCCACCACCAGCCTGGCCTAGAAAGTGAAAGCTGGGCTGGAGAAATTGCTCAGAGGTTGAGAGCACTGATTGCTCTTCCAGAGGTCCTGAGTTCAATTCCCAGCAACCACATGGTGGCTCACAACCATCTGTGATGAGATCCGGTACCCTCTTTCTGACATGCAGTTAAATGTGCAGAACACTGTGTATAAAAGACAGATGTGGGGTCCTGATGTAAGGTCTAACTGAATAGTACAGAAGAGCTCTGTGGCTAAGCGTACTTGGTCACGGTAAGGTCCTGTCTGTCAGGAGACCCCTGCACAGCAGGGAATTCCCTGTCGGACCCAGAATAGGCACAAGCCCCACTCAAACACCAGTTTTCACAGGGAGATCCTTCATTAATCAGGGAACAAAGGTTAGTGGCTGCTTTCTGACTCAGGCAGAAGAAGAGCAGCAAATGACTTTCCAGGTGTAATTGGTGGGGGGAGGGTGTGGTTGTTGGGGGGGTAGGGGTATGTTCAAGACAGGGTTTCTCTGTGTAGTGTTGGCTATTCTGAAACTCACTCTGTACACCAGGCTGTCCTCAAACTCACAGAGCTCCTCCTGCCTCTGCCTCCCAGAGCTGGGATCAAAGGTGGGTGCTGCTATCATTGGCTGCTGGTGTAATTTTTAAGAAGAGGGAAAGGGGAGGCCTGTGTTAGGATGGGCTAGCATACATACAGTGGCAAGTCTTGGTTGAGCATGTTAATAACATGAACCAAAGCTGGCTTTGGATTGCTGGACTTCAATACTTTAATAGCTGGCCCTTGGCAGTCAGCCGCAGGCAGAGGAAGTGGCCAAATAAGGAAAGAGACCTTGATGGCTGACTTTAGTAAAGTCATCTAATGTTTGTTTTTAGCAAGGCCGAAGGAGTGGTGAGAAGGGTAAAATTGCCAGAGCCACGCTCAGCACATTCAAGCTGGCCAGAGTCTCTACACCTTCCCTCACTGACCAGTCATCTCGACTCTGGTCATCATGTGCACACAGCTCTGACAAGCTGCCAGAGCTGCAGGCAGTGTCTTCCCAGGACTTTCTCCTCTCCCAGCATGGAATGGGGGGGGGGGGGTTGGTTTTAATTGGTGTACATTGTTTCAAAAGTCTGACAGCCAGACGGCACAAGTGCCCTATGGTATCTGGTCCTGAAAGAGTGGTCACAGAGGTACAAGAAGCCACCGCCTTGCACAAGGTAGGGCAGTGCTCTACCCCTAGCTACATCCCTGCCTGCCACCTTTGGGTTTTGGAATGGGATTTCACCAGGTGTCTTAGGTTGGCCTCACACTGGCAATCCTCCTGTCTCTTCCTCCCAAGAGCTGGGATTACATGCCTGCACCACCACCCTGGGCTTATGGCTCAATGTCTGACCCTCATCTTATAATCAAATGCCTCGGATCATTTAATGTTTCACCATCATAGGGTTTCTGTGCGATCACGTGTTTGGGCTGGTTTAATCTCCTTGAGCTTTTGCCTTGGGCTGCTATCCCAACACCTGCGCACGCTGTCGCCCTCAGCCACTAGGGGGCGCAGTGAGAACACTCGCCCAGACTCCGGCGCCTACGCAGGAGGTCGTGTCACGAGGTCCGCGCGGATGAGCCCCGCCCACGAACCACGTGACCCACGCTGCCCACTGAGCCCGGGGGTCTTCAGCCAGGAGGGTGATTGCGCAGGTGAGCTGGGCAAGCTGGTGGAGGCTGTCTCAGGCCCCAGAGCCTCCGGAGGAGCGGCCTCCTCCAGGCAGGCAGGGCCGACTGTCAGCGAGTTCCTGCTTGGGAGAATCGAGCAGAGACACCGCGGCATAGGTGAGACCCCCGACCCATTCAGCCGCGGACAGTGACGTTAGTAAGACAGCGGGCTCGGCAAAGTCCGGGATTCTAGTTCGTGCCGCAGTGCCAGGCGGGCAAAACTCTGTGTGTATGTGACGCAGGGGGAAACTGAGGCACAGAGAGATCGAGAACCTTCACTTAGACCGACCTCCCGTGTCTGAAAGGTTGGGTTTGGACTCGCCTGTGCCTGGTGGCGCAGCGGTCCAGCTGCTTTCCCGAAAGCAAGCTTGAGGTCACCAGGTCAGTCGTAGCCTCTGAGTTCAGTTCCTTCCCATTTTTTTTCCTCTAAATTGTGACTGAGAGAACGGGCCTCGGCTGCCTGGTCCCTGTTGCTGGGACTTTGGTCTGATGCGCGTGTTTCTCAGTTGCGCCCTGCGGTCTTCTTGGAGGGTCATGGAAAAAGCAGATTCCCGCCCTGCCCTATGGAATCTGAGCCTGTGAGTGTCCTTAGATGCTGAATCACGGTCAGTGTCACATATGTCTGGAAGGGCCAGGTGGAGCTGGGCCTTACTCTGCAGTAAAGACAAAATGGATCTCTGGTCTTCGAGTCTGATCCACACACCGGATCTTTCTCTTGCTCGTTATGGTAGCTCATTATGGCCGGGCACCTGAAAGACCAAGGCGTGATTGGAGGGTAGGAAACTGCAGCCCACGCAAGCACTCCAACTCCCACAAGATGCTGGAGATCACTCACCATGGTAACGATTTCAGTCATGCCTACGTAACCAAAGGCCCACAGAGCTAACAGAGCTGGCTGCCATTTCCAGAGCCTGAAAGCCCAGCATGTGGGAGATGGTGGCAGGAGTCCAATTCATCCCAGGCTTCATAGCAAGTTAAGGCAAGGCTGGGCTACTGGAGACCCTATCTCAGTATGACAGCCAAGTGGGTTCAGAGAACTTCCCAGCTGCTCAACACATTTAAATGCTGGGATCATGGGGGGGCCCTCCCAACTGTTCTCCACCGGTTTCTTCATTCTGGCCTTTCTTGAGTTACAGCGTTCAAAACAAACCAGCCAACCAATAAATATACGTGAAGTGCTTTTCTGAGTTCTGTGAGACATTCTAATGAGTTACTGAACTTAGTGCGGGACTGTGGGGGTGGGGACCTTGGAACCACCGGGTCTATAAGCAGTTCCTCAGAGAGGTATGGAGGCAACCTAGGGCTTACATCTGGGTCATGGTTCACAAACCCCCTTCCTGGACTGGAGAACTGGGGAGCCACTATCGGGAGAAAGTCACAGGAATTGTGGGTAAAAACCATCAACCAGGAGCACCCTGACTCACCAATGGCCACAGTTGGTCCCCAAGTGCCAGTCAGTATATTCACAGATGGCCCTTGTACTGCCAATCTTGTACTGCCAGGCCATGTCCTGAGTGTATCTGGTGACCCCGAGGACCTCCCTCTGTGCTGAGCCCCACAACATCCAGAGATCACCCCAGTTTCTACCCAAGCCCCATTTCCAGAAGGCCCATACTCCTGCAGCTAACGAGCCCTAAAACCTGTTCCCTGGGCTCCTCACTCCAGCTTCCTCTCCTCGGGGTTGGACATGGGTGTGGTGGCCCGCCAGCCTCCCCACTTCAACTTTGGTCTCACACAGAAGGCCCTCTGATAAAATCCTGGCTTCCTCTCACATCTGTCTGTACCTGCGTTGTGGGGCCCATGTCTGCAGCAAGCCCCCTGCCTCTGAGAAGTCTCCCGTTGTCTCCTGTCCTGGCTTCTGTCTTCCTCACTGTTGTTCTGAGGGAGATACTCTCGCTCCCTCCTCCCACCTCCTGGGAGTGTGTGGGGGTGCTGCTTGAGAACCTGTCCAGGGCCCTCTGACCCCCAACACATTGATACTGGCTCCTCCTCTCCTCAGGTCTTCAGATCTATCCATGCTGACCCGAACCAACAGGCTTTCACCATGAATATACGGAAGCCCCTCTGTTCGAACTCCGTGGTTGGGGCCTGCACCCTTATCTCTTTGACTACAGCAGTCATCCTGGGTCACCTCATGCTCCGAGAGCTGATGCTGCTTCCCCAAGATCTTCATGAGTCCTCATCAGGACTGTGGAAGACTTACCGACCTCACCATCAGGAAAGTTACGAGTCAGGACCCCTGCACGTCCAGGAGCAGACTGAACAGCCCAAAGCAGTACACACACAGTGTGATGTACCCCCCAACAGCCGCTTTGACTGTGCTCCAGACAAAGGCATCTCCCAGGAGCAATGCGAAGCCCGCGGCTGCTGCTATGTCCCAACAGGGCAGGAACTGAAGGGGCCACTGATGGGGCAGCCCTGGTGTTTCTTCCCTCCCAGCTACCCAAGCTACCGGCTAGAGAACCTGAGCTCTACAGAGTCAGGGTACACCGCCGCCCTGACGCGTACCAGCCCGACCTTCTTCCCAAAGGATGTGCTGACCTTACAGCTGGATGTGCTGATGGAGACAGACAGCCGCCTCCACTTCATGGTGGGTACAGACATGGTAGACCCTAGATAGAGCTGAGTCAGGCAGATAACTGTCATGAACAGCCAGTGCTCTCAACCTCTGAGCCATCTCCCCAGCCCACGTAACTTTTTAAGAAGTCAAAATTCTCACTGTACTGTCCCCCCCTCTCCTAGATCAAAGATCCCGCTAGTA